GCATCTTTCTGCTCTCTAAGGCTGCAGCACTCTTGAGGGGCCTCAACCCTTTGGGGCTCAGACTTGTTTTGGGGGGAAGCCTGGACCAACAAAGTAATATTTGACACCCCCACCCCCGTACTGAGGGTTTTGAACCCTGGTCTCATGCGTGCTAGGAAAATGCTACTGGGCTACATCCCCAGCCTTTTCTTTTTGAGACGCTAAACTGCCCAGGCTTAGCCTCGAACTTGCGATCCTCTAACTTCAGCCTCCAGGGAAGCCAGAATTAACAGGAGTGAGCCACCACACTGGGCAATATCTGGCTTCTTTGATAACTCTGTAAACATACTTCTGAGAAGGTAAAAGGAAGAAGTAAATCCCTGTTTTATAGCTAGCAATTGTTTATTTGTCTTGAAATTATTATTTTGACACAAATGGAAAGATGACCCTTGGGACCACTTGGGACATGAAATAAACCCTGTGTCCTATTCTGACTCTTCAGAAGACAAAGTCAGGGATCAGTTGAAGAGTGCCTTTCTGGTGTTACCAGAAACATCGGCCAAGTATTTCCCAGGAAATAATATTGACGATAATTGATTCAGATCGAGCTTAGAACTCAACTTCGGAACTCCTAGGGGTGCCCAGGGTCCAGTGAGTCAGCAGGTCTTACTACCCTGGCCACAGGGCCCCAACTTGAGCCCAAGGAGAGACTGGTTCTCACTGCGCTGAGGGACTGGACCTCCTGCAAGCCGCCTTGCTCCCTGGAAAACTGGAAGCAGAGGACACTTGGCCTTAAAAATCGCTTCAATTCCCTGATTGGACGGCCGTGGGTTACTGGTCTACAGGTGAACCAATCACAGGCCAGAGGGATGGACTTACCCAGATTGACCTGGATCTGGATCTCACTAGCATCCTGGAAACCTACAATCTACAGGAGAAGACCTGGGACCACAGGGGAAACTGGATCCTGGACAGGCCAAAAAGAGGCATTCAGCGCTGTTATTTCGTTTATTTGTAATGAGTTTAAAAGTCCATAATAACAAAAACAAAGTGACTGTTAGCCATTGCTGCAGAACAAATTTTATAACTGCCCTAAATTTTATAACTTAATTCTCTACAGTTTATTTCTTATAATTTAGGTCGACTCAGTGGTTCCTCTGCTTTTTCACCTGGGATCATTGATGGGGGTGGATTCAGCTGGTGGGTCAACTGAGTTTGGAAGGGCCAAGCCTCACTCACCTGCCAAGCAGTTAGTAGCTGGACTATTCAATCAATGGCTTCTCATCCTCAGTGGGTTGATCCTGTTCAAATGGCAGTGTTGAGGCAACAAGTTATTAGGCTCAGGAGCTGAGGCAGTGTCACTCCCAAGCATTCTGCTGGCCAAAGTAACTCAAGTTCAAGGGCTGAGTAGACAAACTCTACTTTGTAATGGATGAAGCTATAAAATGTGTTTTTGCTTTTCATTCTAGTCAACTACTTTTTTTTTTTCTGAGTTCATTTAGGACCCCATCTGACAAGTTTTGACATACCTTGCTCTAATTGATTTCCAGTCTGACCAAGAAAGTGACTTTAGTTCAGTTTTGTTTCATTAACTGATCACTACACACCTGTGGTATTTTAAGTATTATATATGCCATGTTGTTTTGGAAATTAATGTATTTTTTTTGGTAGCTTAGTATTGAAGCCAAAATTAGACAGGCAGTCAGTATAGATAGGTAAATCAAGTCAGTTAGGATCAAGGAGGTCAATTTTGAGTGAGTCTGGGAAGTTGGAGGCTGTCTCCTGAGGGATTGAAATGTTAATTCCTTCAAAGCCCTTCCTCCACCCTTATCCAGAAGTTGCCCCAGCTCCAACCTGTTGCCAAGGTAACCTGTCCCAAGAATGACCCCTCCCTACAGGGAGTTATAAGGTTGTTGATTAATGTGTCCAGGACTGCTCCATCGGGCAGCCCTTCCCCCTTTTATCTACCTGTGTCCCACCTTTTGGCCATCCCACTGAGGATTCCTGGGCCTAGTCACATATTCAGGAAGGAGAAAGATAAGAGGAAGAGAACAGGAGAATAAAGAAAGCCTAAGACCTATAAAAATGCAGAACATCCTCACTTCTGGGGATACCAGGACACCAGCTATGGCCCCCTTCTCCCTCCCGGGAGAAGTCTATGTTACCCCTTTTTAAATAAACCCTAATTTATATGCTTGCCTCGGCGAGCTTCTCTAATGTTCAGACTTCAATATGCGAGGGAGCAGAACCCGTCACTGATAACCATCGGTATCAGTAGGATTGATTTTTGTAAATACATCATGAACATTTGAAAAGAATTTTCTGTTTAAAAGATACAGAAATTGATAGATGTAGAAGTTGGTATTTTTCAGATGTTCTGTATCAATATCTATTGTTTTCTCGTGTACAGATTGAGTATCCCTTGTCTGAAATGTTTGGCACCAAAAATGTTTCAGATTTTGTTTTGTTTTGAATATTTATGTGTGCCCAATGACATATGTTGGGAATGGAACCCAAGTCTTAAAGAGACAAGGATCATCACAGGAACAAAGTGTAGAGAAGCCGGAGCCCCCATGATGACAGGGATTCATAGAGGTTGGTTTTGCTAAAAAGCACTGACATGGGTAACAAAAAGAAAGGTAAAGATTCGACATC